ACCTTGGAAGACTAGGGCCAAAATGTTGACTTTCCTTGTGCCCTCCTTTTTCTCTAATTTTTGGTCTGCAAACTTAGGTTGTTAACCCTCCAGAAGAGAAGCTTATTGTTATTACCATACAACCTAGGCTGTTAAGCTTACCCTCACTATCTGAGTATCAAACATCTTAGTCATAACATGGAACGGGTATTTTTCATAAAGTATTGATATGTTAAACTTTAAGTCCCTACAGAATATGACAAAAAACTTTTTTAATTAAAATATATTTTTAAAATAGGAATAAAGTCAGGATAACTTTTTTAATTTAATTTTTTCTGCTTTTTGTTTTTTCCCTAATTCTCCATATTTCCTGCTCTGTTTTTGGCTGGTTTGGCAGTATCTTTTCTTTTGGAGAATTCCCATAAGAGTTAGGCACAAGCATTCAATAGGAAGCTTTATAAGAGCATACGCAGGGTTGATAATCGTGTGGTGCTGGACTGGGCCGGTTGTCTCCAGTCAGGACTGATGTCCTTTCACTGGGACAGTCAGGTGTTTGGAAAAGTAATCTTTTAACCATTTATAGTGCACACCCATGTGAATGCTTTCTGAGAGAAAAGAAAAGGGGCTGTTAGTCTTGTTCTGTGTGTATACTACTAATAACTAATAGCGATTGCTCACACCAGACTCTGTGTTCTTTGCATGTATCCGCTCATGTAACCACCAATATCTCTATGAGATACAATGTTGCCATGGCATTCTTTTCATAGAAGAGAAAGGTGAAATCCAAAGACATGAGGTAGCTTTATGAAGATGTCTCAGGAGAGACATTTGTGGCAGAGTAAATATTTGAATCGAGGCTAACTGAGGCCTCACACTTGACATCTAATTGTCCTCCTTTTCTGTGACCACTTTCTTTTTTTTATTATTTTAAAAAACTTATTTATTTATTTGGCACAGGTCTCTCTATGCAGCTCAGACTTGTAGTCATCCTCCTGTCTCATTACACCTAAGGTTCCAGGGCCGGTATGGTGTGTGGTACTGGGTATCAAACCCAGGTCCTGGCGCTTGCCAAGCAGGCACTTGGACCACCGAGCTGTCTCCCCAGCCCCTCTGCTCCACTGAGGCATGAGTGTGACCCTTTCCAGTTCATCCCATGACAAAGCCCCTGCTGTCCTGCAAGGCGGAAGAACACACTATCTGGCTTTCCTGGGTCAGAAGGGATGGGACAGCGACAGTTCCACATATAGGTGTTGAGTCAGGCCTGCTTTCTACCGTAAGTCTTATCTTCTTATGTAGTCTTTTTCCATATCCATTGGGGCAGTAGATGAGGTGTCTTCATCCCATGCTACAGCCGTGTTACGCCGGCGCCCAGGAGCTCACTCCACTGTGCGTGATGTCTTCCGGATTCCAGGCAGAGGGATCGGATTGGTAGCTGTAGGGGGGGTCTGTACACTGTGGGAACTGGCCAATGGGAGGCACCGAGGCTCCTCTTCTTTTTTTTTTTTTTTTTTTTTTTTTTTTTTTTTTTTTTTGGAGAAAGGAAAGGACCCCCTTTTTTTTTTTTTTTTTTTTTTTTTTTTTTTTTTTTTTTTTTTTGAGTTAGTACAGGGTCTGATCAGACTTGTAGTGATCCCGTTTTCAGCCTCCCAAGTGCAGGGATTACAGGCGCACACCACTATGCCCAGTCTCAATCGCCGGCACCCGCATGCCAGGGATCAAACCCCGGCCGCTCTCTGCCTAAGCAGGCACTTTAGTCTCCTGAGCTATCTGGCCGGGCCCTGAGGCTGTCTTTCTAAAGCTAGTTGTTAAGCATCAGGCAGCATGCCTCTGGCTACTCCTGTCCGCAGACACACAGGACCCAACTTCTTCCTGGCTGCAAGGGCTGTGTCTGTGCTAGAGGCCTCTTTTTTATCCCCAAATTTATAGACTTCTTTTCTTTATCATTGTTGCCTTTCTCATTGTGTATGAGAACAGGAAAGGAACCATGTTTCCATGCTTTTTTTTTTTTTTTTTTTTTTTTTTTTTTTTTTTTTTTAATTTTACTCCTTAAATTCCTTTCCTGCTTTTGTGGTGGAATTTTGTAGAAAAATACCTCCCTGTGTTTAATCAGAAGCCTCACCCAGCACCAAGAATGAAGTTCTGATGGGAGTCAGGCCCCTCCCCGCTCCTGTTCCCAACTGCTCCCAAGTCAGTATCACCTGGCCGCCCAGCCCCAGCTCCTAGAGCGCGTCAGGTTTGTTCTCGTGAGCACTCGGTTCAAGTCCCTTCAGCTTGCCCCAGGTCTCTCTGTGTCCGCACCGTCTTCGACCCGGGTGTGCTCGTCTTGGATGGGTCTCCTGGATGGCCCACTGCTTCTGCGCCCGGCTTTCCTCAGTGATTCAGCCCAGTTTTACTTCCTTGGGCGCTCTCAGCCCCGTGGCGCAAGACCTCTCGGTTGTGTGCATAGTTACAGCCTGACTTAAGTGGAAGGGAAGAGCTTTTCCTCATTGCATTTAGCGCCTCCAGACACATAGATGAATGCCCTGCACATAGTAGGCCTTCAGTAAATGTTGGAGTAGTATTGGGTGAACGAATACGCTCCTTGCTTTATGGGAATTCATCTGGTCCTTCAGGACTTCCGTTTTATGGACCTAAGAAAGCTCAACCTACCGGAGCCGTCTTTTCAGGCGCCAGACGCAGCAGGAGCCCTTCAGGAGCCGCACGCTCGTTTCCCTTCCCTTTTCCTCAGCGAGCTGTGGGTCTGCTACTCGCGCGCATCATCATTTTGCGCACCGTTAAGGTTTTACTTCTGTTACTGACACCACCTCCCGTTTCGGCTCTCGGCTGAGCCGTGTGTCCTTCGGGTTCTGTTTCCTTGTGTGCTTTATGTTCTACTCTAAGACTGCACCAATGCATAAAGCAAAGGATGTTTTGGCAAGAAGAAGGGAGTGCGTACCTCGCGGGTGGAAGTAGCTCAAAAGGAAATGGTCCCATCCCTTCCTGAAGATCTGCTTATGGGCCAGCGAGATAGCTCTGCAGACAAAGCGCCTGCTCTGGCAAGCACACGAACCGGGTTGGATCTGCACGCCGCGCTGGCCCGCCCCGGGGACCTGAGCCAGGGACAGAGTGGGGGGAGGGGGGCTGGGGGTGCCCTGCCTGTAATCCCAGTGCTGGTGAGGCTGAAAACAGGAGGCTCTCCCCAAGTCTGATCTGCGTAGTGAGACCCTGTACCAAATACACAAGTGAAAATAAAAAAAGGATTAGTTTATAATTTGGATCAAAGTGTCTGAGGGGAATATTTTCGGAAAAAATATCTGATTGACAAAGTATGAAGGCTTTAAATTTACATAAATATAAAAAGAAAGAAAATTTACCTAAATATTTATTGAGCTTTATTGCTGCAGAATGCTCTCCTGAGCAACATGGGAAATTATAGCCGCAAGCCTCTTGCCTTCGAGGAACGCGTCATTGAAATTCACGTGGTAGTGAGCAAAGGAGGCCTTGAGAATAGCTAAAGGCAGGAGGCCGGTGGTTTTCTTATCTCAAGCCTCTCCCCGTGTCATTTATTTATACATTGGGAGACAATTATTTCACACAGAGAATTCAGAAACACTGAATTCTGGCTGGGCTTGTTGGTGTCCATTTGATACATCATTACTTCCAAACTTACTGATGACAGCTTTTAGAAACTGAATTTGCTGTCATTACTTTTTTCACAAAACATGTTAAATTCTGTGACGACAATTCGTAAACCTCTCTTGGTAATCGGATTCTCTAAGAATTCCCCAGGCTTCACAGTGATATTCTGCTGTCTTGTTTTTGCTTCATTAGAAAATGTGTACTGGTTGTTAAATGTCATTTTAACCTTTCTTTCTTTTTTCTTTTTTTTTTTTTTTTTTTTTTGGTGCTAGGTATTGAATCCAGAGTCTTCCATGTCTTAAACATGTGCTCTGCTTTTGAGCTATATTCCAACCGTTTAAAGGTTTTCTTTGCCTCTGACTACATTGATTTCTTCCCTGACCTCTTTCCACACATTTTCCACTCATTCCTACTACACGTGATTAGCTGTTTTTCAATGCAATCCATTTAAATTAACAGGGAACTTGAGGTGACCAAGCTGTGCATTTCCTCACTGAAGACACATGGGGGCGCCAAACTGATAGAAATGGTGAAGATTTTCCTGTTGGCTTATAGTGAAAGGATGAGATGAGTGAGGCATTTGGATCAGTTGGGGTGTTTTGTTTTGTTTTGTTTTGTTTTGTTTTGTTTTGTTTTGTTTTAATTGAACCAATATAATTAAACGACTCAATATCAATGGCAAGCATTGCTAGTCTACAAGGACAAAACAGGTGTTAGTCCAGGGAGTCAGTCCTTGTCTTTATTTTATCCTTTTCAGTCTTAACTAAACATTCTCATTCAATAAGAACACAGTAGATTTTGACTGCTGACACAATTCCTCTCACTTTCAAATCAGGAAAATAACCATCCTTGACAATTTGTAATTGATTGATACAAAAAGTAGGAGGGGGGCTGTCCCAAAAGTAGTTGTGGTGCATAGCTGAAATCTGAGCTTCCTCGGAGGCGAGGGCAGAGGCTGGCAGATATGGGCCAGCAGGGGCGCTGGGTGATGAGTTTAAACCCCAGCACAACCAAAAAAGGACAGAAAAAGCAGTTATGGTTGAAAAGTAACTATTACCACCTTTTAAAACATAAGGTGGGAAAAACTAGAATTTACCTGTTCATACTTCACTTTCTATCTTCAGTGCATTTGCATTTAAAAGGTGAACCGGTGACCCTGCTTTCCATGTGTTGCAGAATGGACTGTCCCCACTGCACATGGCCACGCAAGGCGACCACCTAAACTGCGTCCAGCTCCTGCTGCAGCACAACGTGCCTGTGGATGATGTCACCAATGACTACCTGACGGCGCTACATGTGGCCGCCCACTGTGGCCACTACAAAGTCGCCAAGGTCCTCTTGGACAAAAAGGCCAACCCCAATGCCAAAGCCCTGGTGAGTGGCTCTGCCCGACGGGCGGCCCCCGTTGTCTCATGCCTTGCGTGTGAAGGGGTTACTTTTACCGAGGTGAAAATGGAAGGTGTTAGTGCAAGAAAGTGTACTTCTCCTCGGCACTTTCATTCAGCCTTCCTGGAAATCTACCAGATCCTCTGAATTGTCAGCTCTTTAGGGTAGCACTTGTTTGTGTCTAGAGATACTTTGTGTTTTATTCCTCCAGGCTTGTAGTACATGTGAGTACATTCTCTAGGGAATCCGCGCATGTATGTGGAAAGTCTTAGTCACCCCACTGCCCCTGCTGCCTCCCTCTGCATCGCCTTCCATCTGCAGGAGGAGCCACCCAGCCTGCAGTGGATCTGTCTTTTCTTTTGCTCTTTAAATTATTTATACTTTGGTTCTCTCGTGGGAGAGAGACCACAAGGCCACATTTGTGATTCCTTTATTTAAATAAAGCCCGAATAATGCCAAGTGCAGAAAGAATGGCAACATCATCCTCATGTTATGATAGGTAAAGTTGTGATTAAGAGTTTGTTCTTAAGAAAAAAAAAGTTTTTTCTTAGATCTAAAAATATGAAGCAAGATGATCAAAATCCCATTTATCTTGGAACTGTTGATCTACCTTGTTCTGTTCCCCTTGGGAGTTAATGGATATTGCCTGTCATCTTTTTTGTAACCAATCAGTTTGCAGTTTTAACTACTATGTAAAATGACTTCTCTTTTAGCTTCAGAATGTGCTACATTTTGGTTTTCTAAAAAAAAAAAGTGAGTGTTTCTTCTTTTTTTAATAAATTTTCCCAACTTAGTAAGCCATTTAAATTTAGTTCAGAAAAAGCACTCATGCTTAGGAAAAAAATAAATCACCTAGTTTTAGAGAAAATTGTGAGCTTCCTAGCAACTTTCAGGTGAAGGCTTTCCTGCATTCAACCTTTTCCAGAAGGTTGCTCTACCCGCCCCCGCCCCAGACAGCTTGGTTCCCACTCCAATTCTGAAAGACTCTGGGCTGGCCACACACAAGGGCTGCTGACCTGCCCAATGTGTCAGTTGTGTCTGAATTCTGAGAAGGGAGGAAGAAAATTAGCTATCATGACTCATGTTTCCATACAAGAAAAAAGAAAGCCTTAAAGGAGGGTGTGGGCTGTCATTGCCCTGCGCCTCTGGAAATTTCACAACATGTGGAACTGGGAGCCCGTCATGCTCATCCGGGGATGGACTAGGGCCAGAGAAACGCTCTCAGGAACCTGCCAGGAAGTATCTGCGATGAATTGGACCTTAGCTTTTACAGTGGACCTGGTGGCTTACCGTTCTCCATTAGCAACTGAAATGTATGCATCACCTCAGTGTTCAGCCAGGGCAATTTGGGAGGTCATTTGCTAAAAAGCAGATTATATTAGGTTAAATATTAAAACAAATGATCCAAATAATGTTGAATTATTCCAATTTCTGCCTCATTAGATTAAACACCTACTTGAATCTTCAAGCCGGGCAAGAAATGACAGCATTTTATAACCTGTCTTACTGTTCTAAACTACAGCCGAGAGGTCAGAATAGTTCTGGATGAACTTTGGCTATGAGGATATGTGTTGAGGCACAGCTGTTCTATTACGTTTTTGAAGTGAGGTGAAAAATGGATGTAATTTGGTCCAAAATAAAATAAGGAGGTGCTTGTTTTGTTTGCCTTAGCTGGTGGGAGAAGGCAAGGCATTCCCTTCCTGCTCACAGCTGTTTAGCGGCCCTGGGCCCCTGGGAGCAGCTACCGGACCTCCGCCCCCAGCGGTGAATCACTGTTCTGGCTATTCTGAAGGCTTTCTAGCACACCAGTTTAGAACTGTTTCACTGTACCCAGTGGATCAGATTTCACTAGAAGACACCCAGGCCAATATGTGACTTTGTACCCCACAGAATGGCTTCACCCCTCTTCATATCGCCTGCAAAAAGAATCGAATTAAAGTCATGGAACTCCTTCTGAAACACGGTGCATCCATCCAAGCTGTAACCGAGGTGAGCAGCGCGGGGCGTCTGGGCTTCCTGGGTGCCAGCGCAGAGCCGGAGCCTCCGCTGGCTTTGTTTTGCGATGTTGCCGTGGACCATATTCTGAACTTATCACACAAAGGGTGGCTGGTCAGGCCTTAGGAGAAGTGTAGGAGGGTGGGCGACGGCGCATGCGGGCCTAGAAACGCGACCGAGAACGCGGCGAGGCGGACGGCACCATCAAGGAAGCTTAACTTAATGAAATGTCACAATGCAGTGCTTCTCTACGGGAGGCAGGTTTGACCTGCAGGGGCGTTTGGCGATGGCGCACGCAGGAGCTGTGGCTGCTAAGCTGGGTGATCCTGCTGTCACCTCGTGGGTCGGGGACGGGTTGGGACGGGGAACTGCTCCCTGCCTCAAGCGGTGCAGGGGCACCTCCTACGGCGATATTCCTCCTGGAGATGTCAAACGTGCCCGCCTTGAGCACCAGTGCGTAACACAAGTTGTGCATTTTCATAAAGCAGGGCCTGCTCTGCCTAAAGGCGCGAATGAGCGCAATGCAGAGCTGCGGGCCGCAGTAAGGGGCTAGCCTTGGGTCTCCTCCCCGCGAACCAGCCCGAGAGCCTTCGGCCCACTCCACTCGCCTGCACCGCCCCTCCGGACACCCAGCCCACCCCAGCGCGCACCCCCGGCTCTGAGACCCCGGCCCTGTGCCCCCAGCCCGAGCCGTGGTTAGGCTGCACGCGCGGCCAGCTCCCCCGGCAGAGTCACTAGTCCCGACCCAGCCCGCTCCCTCTGAGGTCTGAGCCCCGCTTTCGCTGTGTGCGTATCTCATCAAACTGCTGTCCAGCGTCCTGCTCGTGGCCCAACTGTTCCCCCAGGACCCCAGAAGCGCAGGCCTCTGGGGCAGGGGTGTCTTCGTGGCCTGGCCCCCGCATCCGCTTTGGTGGAGGCCTTGGTGCTTCCGTAGAGACTAAAGTCTATCTTGTCGTGCTGGTTTGCCCTCGGCTTCTTAGCTGTCAGTGGAATATTTGCTGTGATTTTTAACACAGTTTTGAAAGGCTAAATGGGAAAAAAAAAAAAAAATACGGATCTGCTCTTTGCTCGGACATATGGCTTCACCTTAAGCGCTCTGTAATTTTAAGTAGAAAATAGTGAGTTTATTCTCAGTGCAGGAGAATCCTTTTGAAAGATCAGAATAAACAGGGCGGAGAGATGCCACTGATATTTGAGTCTGTGTAAGGAGCTGCAAGCCACAGACCCATGAACCCCAAAGGAAGCTGGGACTGGGCTCTTGGGCGCCCCCTGCCGGAGGGAAAAGGAGTCAGACTGCGGCCAAGCTCCTCCTCCCGCAAGTCTGTTGCGGGGCAGCCAAGTTTGCCGCCCTTCCGTCCTGTTCCCACCTACTGTGTAGGCTCCGTTCCACATACTGCTGATGTTGCTCAAATTCCTTTAAAAATTGGTTGTCCCTTTTCTCCCTTTTAAAGCCAAATAGATAAGCTTTTTCTAACCCTATTACATTTTTATCAGATTATGATGCACATATTTTAAGCTTAGTTAAATTCAGAAAAATTTAAAATGAGCGATTTTGTATGAAAAGCACAAGTAAGCTGCACTCTTTAAAAAGATGACTGATCTGAGTTTTTGGTTCTCTTTTTCCTTAACCACTCTACTTTTTACTGGATAGTGTTTCAGGAGTGTTGTGTACCCATGTTGTAGGATTTGAAGCAAATATAAAGATTAAAATCCAGCTGGGCTTGATGGCACATGCCTGTAATCCCTGCACTTGGGAGGCTGAGGCAGGAGAACTGCTGTGAGTTGGAGGCCAGCTTGAGCTACATAAGAGAGTTCAATATCAGCCTGAACTACTGTCTCAAAAATAATAATTAAATGATTAAAGCTATTGGTGCAGTTTTCTCTTTTATTAGAGGGAATGACTTTGTGTAAAGTAACCTCCTCTTTCTTGTGTAATATTCTCAGTATGTGGGATTTTTTTTGAAAGCCCAGCATTAAGATTTTAAATTAAAGTCAATATATTTTACTACTGTGTGTATAATCACGGTGTCCTATGTACATACACACATACTGTTATGCATAATGAATATTTAGTAGCAAAAAAAAAAAAAACCCTTAATTTTTTCTCTCATTTTTCCCCTAGGTCTATATAAGGAGTATGACATAACACTTTCATATTCACAGACTTGCTCTAGAGAAGTGCTGATTATGTGTTAATACATTTGCCTTATAGAATCTGTGACATATAATTGTCCTGATACCTTATAATCTGATCTGACTACTAAACTGGATAGATGGATAGATGGATGGATGGATGGATGGATGGATGGATGGATAAATGAATGGGTGGATGGATGGATGAATGGATAAATGGATGGGTGGGCGGATAGATATATGAATGGGTGGATGGGTGGATAGATGGATGGATGGATAGATGGATCAATGGATGAGTGGATGGATAAATGAATGGGTGGATGGATGGATAAATGTATGAGTGGATGGATAGAGGATGGATGAATGGATGGATAAATGGATGGGTGGGTGAGTGGATGGATGGATAAATGAATGGGTAGATGGATGGATAAATGGATGGATAGATAAATGGATGGATGGATGGATGGATAAATGAATGGGTAGATGG